CCCCCCCTCCCGGTGCCGCAAGGAGTCATGCTGCCCAACCCAACTTCTTCACACTACGAGCCGTCGCAAGAGCTTTATCCACTTCCATATTCGCAGCAACAGCAGCTGCCATCCCAACAGCAACAGCAGCAACCGCAGCAATTACTCCAGCATGATCCGCGCCATCGACACCCGGGCAACGTTTCCATGGCAATGGGATCGATGCTACCCATGCGTCAACACGATGACGGACCATATCAAATGTGAAGATGTGGACAAGAGTACAGGTAAAGAAGTGTGATTAGCTTGAAAAAAAATTATCTGAAATTACTCCGCATGTAAATTGATATGTTGTTGTGAAAGAGCCCCTGACAGGGTAGGAAGCGAAGTAAACACACTGAAAATGAAGGTCTTATTTACAATGCGAAAGTCACGCTCCCAATTCTGCGGTGAGATTCCGATGAGATTCGGGTAGAAGCATGAAGGACGAAAGAACAAATGATTGACGCCACCTTTGCCACAGCCGTGATGCAGCTCACAACCCGCATGGGTCTTTACCTTTTTGTCTACTTGTACGCATTGATAGTCTGCATGATGACCCGAGCTGCAAAGACGCTGTACCTGAGACACTCAACTTCCTTTTGACCCGATGAAAGTGCGTATGGCCGTCATGTCCCTCGAACCATAACCCTAGGGGGGCGAAGTGATGGGTATGTCAGAAGGGAGGTCGACACAAGGCCCTTTCCACCGAACGCACCGCAACAAATAACACACGGCAGACAGAGATGGGCTTTTAGGACATTTTACTTGAAAACGATGGGCTGGCAGAGATAGGCTTTTAGGACATTTTACTTGAAAACGATGGGCTGGTTTGGTCTATGCGAGAGCATCAGCCCGAAACATATCATGCTTTGAAATTTTACAATGGCCCCCCTCGGGTTTTTCTTCCCTCGGGAATTTTCCTCCGCGATTTTCGGCGCTTGGACCGAAGGAAAAACAGGTCAAGCGGGGGGGTTAACTAAGTCGTATCCCACTGTCAGTGCTTCCTTTCAAACGAAATGTTATTATTATAAGATCATGCGTAGGAATTGAGTTGTTCGTTGGGATTCTCCTTCTGGTATAACATCTTGTGCAATTGACAATAGCAAAAGAAACGTTGTCCTCCATCTCCAAGACACCTTCTCCTATCGCGATACATATCTCAACACGACAGCATCAGCGATATACTCAGAGAGACCTCGGATCTATCATGCTCTTTGTTGACAGGAAGCAGTACGCCGCTTTGCTCACTAGCAATTTGGGAAGTATTACAATTTTGTGGCTGCGCGTGGGGATGGTGAAGAAGGAATATCGAGTGCCTTGGATGGGCCCATGCGAGGCACGGAGGACAACTTATTAGCGCTCTTGGACGATATCAAGCCTCTCCTGGTGCCTTCTTTGAGTGGAGTGTAAATCGGGCGGCAAGCTGGGTGTCTACTCTATGCCCTGGGCGGAACAAGGTTGAGAGGAAACGTGGCTTCTTCTGTCTGTGGTCTTTTGGCCGCTATATCTGACATGGCTATTGACTTTGTGATTGAGCATCGCCGGCTTACACCTGATAACCCTTATCCCACGGCTTCCAAGGATTTGGATGCTGCTTTCGACTTTTTCGTAGATCACCTCTTCCCAAAGCAATACCCGGACGTGCTTATTATCGACAATGTAGAGTTGATGCGAGATCCTTAAGGGGGACGTTTGAGCGGTGTGAATTTCTTTCGAGCTTCAATCTGATTGAGGTAGGCCTTCCTAGCCTTGCGGGCGTAGATAACGCTGCCATCTTTCTCCCCTTTGTACAATTCGAATATCGAATTCGAAAATGTTTGCATCAGTATGTGTCGACGGGCTTCAATCAGGACACCTATTTCCGGGCCAAACGCGTCAATGAATCGAAAAAGATGAGCAAAAAGGTCAGCCTCATTCAATATCTTTACTGCAACTTGTTTAGAGTCCGCCAAGGCTTGTTTATAGGGGATCGACAATTGGACAATGTCTTCACTGTTCTTTCGCCTAAGCGTGTTCAGCGCTTCCTCCCCTTCTCGTCGACTACGGCTAGCTCCAACGCTGGACGAGACTTCGTATTATCTCATCGACTGTTGTTATTCCCTTTATCTCTTGTTCTCGGGTTGCTGCTGCTATCCACGGCAGAGCTTCTTGATGCTTATCGAGAAACATCACTCAATCTCTTTTAGTTAACACTGATGCACTCCAAATGGGCCGTCCGAAGAAGCGCGTCGAAACATGAAGTACAACCAAGTTTTTGGGGTAACATTACTTGGTCTATCTTCTCGTATATGATAAGCACGCAAGAAATCGCTACGCGATTGAAATTGTGCTGCTAGATGAATTTCAAGGTTTTTCCCGGCCCTGCTGTCAAATGACCTTCGTAACGGCTCACGTAACGGATGTCCAAACCCGTTGTTCTCGCGTACAAGGCCGATCTCTGCGATCTCTGCGATCTCTGCGATCCGTGCCTGACTTATTTCGTGTTGGCCTCGCCCGCCATTGATGCCATCTTCATGGATGTTACTGCAAGGAAGATTTTGGAGAACTGACGGTCTTGAATTCGCTTTAGTCAGGATTGTGCTATGTTGCGTTCGCTGAATCTCTTCTGCTTTGTACGATTATACCTATCACTGCTAGCTCAACAAAGTTCATCAACATTTTTCTCTACAAAAACCAGTGCATCATGGAGCTAATAGGATCCGTCTTGATGATCTATTTAGTCGTCAAATTCAACTCCATTGACGACTTCAACCTTGCGCACCGTGTTTTCAACCGATTGCGCTTCTGGATCCCACCAAGCGAGGAGGACATAAAGCGTGTTCTCCAAGCTCCACCGGCCGGCAGTGCGAACAACAAAGCCATGCGGCGCAAAAATGCAAACAGTGACAATAAGAAGAATGAAAAGGTGAACATGACAGCTGCAGACCGCGTCGAGCGACTTGAATTAAAACAGGCTCTCTTACAACAAGGAATGCTACTCAGGTACCGTGATTGGCCCGCCCTAGACCAGATAGTCATGTTCTTTCTATTGGCCATTTTTATGACCTGGTGGCAAGAAGTGTATCATTTTTCTCATCCAAGCGCACGACTGTTCAAAATCGGGAGTCTGTTTACCGGAATTGCGGCCATGGTTTCTCTAAAAGCCCTCCTCGACCTCGTGTGGAAATACGGTTCTTCTCGTACCGCCACCACAATCGATTTTCGGAACGTGGTTACATGGCTTACGGGCATCGTAGGTGCAATAACCGCGTCGAGCATGCTCCTGGTAGCCAAGGAGGGAGGCGGGCTCATGACCATGACGTTCCACCTTGACGGCGTCATGCGGGTGCTAGGAAAACGATGCTTTTCATTCTGTACCGAAACCATAGGCTTGAGCCCAACGTCCTCAATCCTCAAGGTAACAAATAGCGAAGGCGGTGAAGCGGAACAATTTGTGTCGTTGGGTCCAACACGAGCGTTCCTGGTAGGTGTAGCAACTACCATCGCTGTCGCCCTCGTCCCCTCGGCTTTAACTGCTTCTTTCGCATTTGTCCACCGAGAAAAGCTACCCGGACGGGCGCGAGGCAATGCCTTGGTCCGTACATCAGTCGTTGGGGAACCTGTTCTCACATCTTTATGCTGCCTTACGTTTTTCAAACCTCTGGGCCTGGGGCCGGTCCAACGCGCCCTGGCGACGACGACCGCTCCGCTGCCTGCGTGGATACTTCGGGTAGGAACCTCCTACGGATGGCTGCAATTGCAAGCCTGGATGCTTGGTCTGGTGATCACCTTGCGCCTGGTCCTCTTACGGTGGCAGCTGCAGACCTACTTGGAGTACGGTGGCATTCTGTCCCTCTACCAAGAGCTCCACCGCGCAGGCCCCAAACCCGAAGACGTGGATGGTCTCGGCTTGCGCCTCCTTTTCCAACAACGCTTGCAGCGCGTACCCCGAGTGTGCTTGGAAATCATTGCCCCTCTTATCTGGCTGTGCATTCTTCTCTTCCTCCTGGTGAGCAAGTGCTTCCTCCCCCCTTTCCTCAACATCATGGCGGAGATGTGCATGACGGAGGAAGCGCTCCAGGCCTACCTGTCCCCCCGAGGGAAACCATTGCCAGACAGCATCATCGCCGTCTTGCAAAATCTTCGTGGAAAAGGCGGAAAGGAGGGAGCATTGGACTGGCGGGCGGGTGGAGACGTTGTCCATGCCCTGTGGGACTTCCAATGGTTGAGTGAGTCGGAGTGGGGCGATTTGCTCGGCTTTTTTATCTGTTGGACCCTGGGTGCGTGGACCGTGCTGTATTTCACCTGTATTGCCTATCGAAGCATGCATGTACAGATGAGCGATCACTGAGGGAGGGCAGGGAGGAGGGAAGAGCGGTCGGAGGAAGCGCGGAGAAGGACAGATAAAGTATGGAGTGGGACCGCAGCGTCCACGCATGGGGTACCCTGCAGACGGTATTAGAGACAAAACGAAGCATCGAACGAATTAACACATAGTTACAAGTGCCACTAGGCCCGGTATGGTTTGCGTAGGGCTTGATATTCGGTGCTCGGCGTGTTGACCTTGCCATAGCTGTCCCTCCCACTCCTCCCTGCTCCCATAATTTCCCTCCGTCCCCCCCCCCGTCAATCTTGGGCAAGTACGTCTGAAAACTTTCTTTGGCCTAGCGGTGACCTCTGCCTCGTCACTTTCCCGCCTTCCACGCCCCGGCGTACTAACACACCGATGTAAGCAATACTTCATACCTCCTCTATCCCCCCGCGGTCCAACTCCCCTCCACCCCTGCCGCTGTCCCGGCTTACCGCCGTCGGTACTTAACAGTGCAGGGCGCTGTGGGCCCTACCACCATCGCGTGGTAGTTCGGGGGAGGAACGGCACCGTCGGGGGTAGCCAAAGTCAGTTCAAATTTCGAGAAGAGCAAGGAGAGGACGGTTTTCAGCTGCACATAGGCGAATTGTTGGCCCAGGCAGGCGTGCAACCCCCCGCCAAAGGGAACGTAGGCAAAGAGAGGTTTGTGTTCTTCCCGAGGGGGCGCAAACCGGTCCGGGTCGAAGCTGTCGGGCGCCGGGAACAAAGACGGGAGGCGTTGATGCACGGAGGGGGAGACAGCCACCACGCTCCCTTTGGGGACGGTGTAGGCTTTTCCTTCCTGGGACTGGACGAGCAGGTCCTGCCGGCATTGCCGCATCAGCATGATCAAGGGCGGGTGCATCCGCAAAGCCTCTCGAAGGCAATTGAACAACAGATCCATTTTCCCCACCGCGTCGAAATCCAAGGCCCTCAGCGCTGCCTCGGACCCCGTGTCCTGCCCCCGGATGGCGACTTGCTCCGCATAGACTCGGTCTTGCAAGCCCTTATTTTGCGCCAGGTACAAGGCCGTCCAGGAAGACGTGATGGAGGAGGTGTGCTGCCCGGCAAAGAGCAAGGCAATCAGCAAGCCCGTCACCTCGTCGTCGGTGATCTTGCTCCCGTCCTTGTATTCGATGTCCATAAACACCTGGAGGATGTCCGTGCGGGCCTCTGCCTCCGCCGCCCCTGCCGCCCGCCGGCGTTGGATCACCTTGGAGAAGAGCTTGACCATCTCTTTCCGAGCCGCGTCCCGTTTCCAATGCGACGGGATCGGCAAGTTCGGGAACAACACCGAGACGGGCGTGATCCCCTGGTCCAGGTCATTGTAAAGCTTGGAGACCTCCGCGAAGAGCTCCTGGCGGACGTCGTCCCCGTGCAAACACCGGGAAGCGGTCAAAATGATCAAATCGCTGAGCGCCTCACAGATATCCACCTCCCCCGCCTCCCCCCACCCCTTAAAGAATGCCTCCGTTTCCTCCGAAATTTTTTCCACGTACGTCCGAAGCCGGCCCGATTTCAAGGCGTTCGCCGTCCGTTGCATTTGCAAATTCCGTTTCTTGGGGTCCGAGTCGTACACCACGCCCTCCCCAAAGACGGCTTTCATGAACCCGTACACCTCGTCCTGCCCCAGCTCCTTGTCGCTCGCCTTGAAAAATGCCGCGGCCGCCTCCGGGCCGATCAAAAAGGTCATGCGTTGGGTGAAGAGGTTCACGGTGAAGACGCTCCCGTACGTCTGGTAGGAGGATTTGATCAGGTTGATGGGAGACTTCAAGAAGAGGAAAAAATGCCCGAAAAGCGGCCAGGCATTGCCGATGACGGGGGGGGTGTCCTTTCTTGACCTGGGCGTGAGGAGGAAAGACACGCAGATGAAGGCGAGGAAGGCGGCAGAGAGGCCTGAAGAGGGGAGGGGGTAGGGAGGGAGGGAGGGAGGGAGGGAG